CTGCCCTCGTACCAGAATCGGTCGGCCGCACGCTTCCTATTGAACTCGTCCTTCAGTATGTTCGAAATGGTCGGTGGTAATGGTTGGGTGGGCGCCGATTTTGACTCTGCAAACATCCCAATAATGGCGTCAATTCGATTCACCTTTCCATAGATAGTTTGGAGGTGTTGAGCGATCGTCGTATTGGAGGTGATAAGTTGAAAACACGCGAGTGGATCTACGGGAGCCGAAATGTCGCATTGGGAATTGGCATAGATGTCTCCAGCAGGATGATAGACAGCTCGATAGGAGTTGTAGTCTAGCAGACCCAGTAGGCGACCTTGATTCGGGTTATCGAAGGTTAGCATGATGCAAATTACGCGCATTTCGTGTGAGAATTTGGACGACGCGAATAAATGCAATTTATGAGATAAAATGCGCGATGATGTACGCACCTCTTCCGATATCAATAGAAACCATATCAGACACTCCTGGAATATTTCGCAACGAACTCGTCACCATCAAGTCAAACTCCGCTGCCGTCCCTCTAAGCATACTCAATAACACATTGTCTACCCCGTCACCGTGTGTCCCCGATGCCAATGACAGCATCAGTATGGGCGTATAATCTAATTGCTGTTTCGTGAAATTCTGCGGGTTCCCATTTTCAGGAAATCCCACTGTCTTGCCCACAAAATAAAACCTGTTAGGATGCGAGTCGGGAAACTGAAAGTCCGGGTGCACCACGATCGACTTCCCGGTGCACCCGTCAATCAAGTCATAGGGTCGAACAATCGAATGGCCGTATCGAAACGCCGCGCCGGCAAAATGTGTTGAAGTGTCAGCATACACCGTCTCATCGTATCCAGTGTATGATGGCATGTTGAAACCTAGCACGGCAGGTAAATATTCTTCATATACGACGCGTTGGTATTCGGCAATTACGATACGTCTCGCTTGTTGAAATAGACTTTCGTTGTTGTTCTTTAATTCCGGACGGGTTTTCAATTGGTCCACCCAATAATTGTGTTCGCGAATCCAGATCGTGTGTATCAAGCATAGTTGAATATTCTCGGAACAACGTAAATCACCGCTGACCAACGCTTCATTAGCGTCTATAGCAGGTGGCGTTAAATCAGCCACTAAGCTGGTCTCGCTAAAACTTGGAGGAACTTGACGGACGGTGATGTTCTTGAGCCCTTTGTTGTAGGCGCCGCCATTCCCTGGGCGGTCTATGAGACGGAGATAGGGGCCATCCCGAAGTTTTCCATTTGTGTCATCGTTATCTCCGTAGATGGTGGATAAGTCGAGATACGAATTTCCCTTGTTTGCAGGATATAAGGTGCCGTTGAGTACTCGGCCTAATGAGAGTGACAGTGTCATGTCTTACATAATACGTGGACAAGAAGAGTTAGGCGAGGGACCGTCGTACGAGACAATCAACCACAAAATTTCTTCTCAT